CACTGTGCTAAGTAAGCAGCATGGGAATATAGTACAAGAAAAAAGCAAGAGAGTCCCTGCCTTCAAAGAAGGAGTTTCCATTCTAACGAGAGAAGACAACACATAGGAGAGAGCTGCAGAGTATGTGTGTGGAGGGTAGGGGCTGTGGGGAGTCCGGAAGGAACCTGGGTTGAACCAGGTTTGGAACTAGTAAGTGTCAGAGCTAGGCTCTGAGCCCAGGTCTCTACTGAGTCCAGGTTGAACACTCTACTATACCACACTATCTCATGTAGTGAAGCAGGGCTAGTGCTTTGCCCATGGTTACTCAGAAAGTCAACAGTAGGGCCAGGATGAGAGGCCAAATCTTTTGTCCACATGCCAGTGCACAGGGCCTTCACTGCTATATGGAGCTCTTACCAAGAGTTTCGTGAGAATAAACTACAGCAGTACCCAATTGAATTAATGATCTTTCCTGAAGACACCTAAACACAGAAAGATTTCTGGAAAATGGAAAACCAGAAACAGTCACATTGATAGGTATCTTGTATGAACTACACTGCTATATAGTTTCTGCCCAATGACAGAGTGCCAGGCCTGGAGTCAGGAAGACCTGAGTTTAAATCCAACCTCAAACACTAGCCTTGTGACCTTGGGCAGGTCACTTAATCCTATTTGCTTCAGTATCCTCATCTGTAAAATGACCTGGAGAAGGAAATGACAAATGACTCCAGTATCTTTGCCAAGAAAACCCCAAACGGGGTCATGAAGGGTCAGACACAACTGAAATGACTGAACAAATGACATATGGTCTTTAACAACAGGCAGGTAATAGAATAAATACAAAGGGACTGGTTAGGTGGCTGCTAAAGGTTAATTATTGGCTAGAATATCCTCATCCCTATATCCTAATACAATAATAACTCACATTTCTATAGCATTTTGAGGTTTATAAAGCATTTTCCTTATAACAACCACATGAGACGAGTAGTGCAACTATTCTTATCTCCATTTCATAGATAAGAAAATTGAGGCCCAGAATAACTTGCCCAAGGTCACAAAGCTGGTCAGTTTGAGGTCAGAATTCAAATTTGGCCTCAGTCACTTACTAGCTATATGACCTTGAGCAAGTCACTTAACTCTGTTTGCTTCAGTTTCCTCATCTATAAAATGAGCTGGAGAAGGAAATGGCAAACCACTCCAGTATCTCTGCCAAGAAAACCCCCAAAGGGGTCATGAAGAGTAGGACACAACTGAAATGACTGAACAATAACACTTCTAAGATCTATTCCAGGTCTAAAAACTATAATCCTTCTGCAAAGCTTGGCAGATCTAGATTTTAGTAGATAATGTAAACTCCTAGAGTTGGGTTAACAAAAATCAACTTCACAAGTTTTGGATGGGGATGGCATGGCTTACAAAATTCATGTAACAAAGAGCAGGAGGTTTAAGTGAACTTCAAGCTAGATATGTCAACACCTCACACTATGCAGAAGCACAAGAGTCCAAAACAAAGGAGGTACTGGTACTCTGTCCTGGTTAGACCACATTTGGAGTACTGTATTTCATTCTGTGTGCCATATTTAGGTAGAAAGAACATGGATGAACTGAAGCACATCAAGAGAAATGGACTAACATCATTCCTTACAGGGAATGGTTGAAAGAACTGTGGGTGGTTAGCCTGGAAAAAAGAAATCTTGGGAAATAGGAAATAGGTTTTTCTACTGAAAAAAAAAGAAAAAAGCCCTGTTAAGGGCCGCCATACAGAAGAAGAATTAATAGGAATGTGATGATACACATTTATAACAGAAGTTTTGTCTTTTTTGCTTCTCAGTGGGTCAGGGGGAGGTGAGAGAGAGAGAATTTGAACACAGAAATAAAATAAAATTGAATTTTAAAAAAGAATAATAATGAGCAAAAATTGAAGAAAGGCTCAATATAATATGTCTATTGAAATCAAGGACTGTTTTTCACTTTGTGTTTGTATTCCCAGAGTCTAACACAATATCTTAACCTAGTAAATTCTTAATAAACACAGTTGAATGAATAAATCCAAGATATCCAACCATAAAATGAGTTTCACTATAACCGTAGATATTCAAAGCAAAGCTGGGATAACCATTTGTTAGGAATGTTTTGGTATCCTGGTTAGGTATTGGTTGAACAAGTTTTCAACTAAGATACCTTCCAGCTCCAAAATACTATGATTCTAATAATTCTAGTTGTTACTGATAGATAGAAAACATTCATTACTAAGGAGGAGTTTCAATCTCTCAACCAGGCAATTTCTACTATCACAGAGATACCAAAACATCAGAGAAACTTGGAGTTAGAAGGAATTTCAGAAATCATGTAGTCTAACCTACACCTAAACAGGAATTTCCCCAATAGCACCTCTATCAAATAGTCATCTGGACCCAGACTAATGTGTGCATCAACAGGGAATTCACTACCTCTCAAGGCAACCCATGCCAGTTTGGGATAGTGCTAATTAGGTAGCTTTTCCTACATGAAGCCAAAATCTGCTTCTTTGCAATTTCTGCCCAAATTCATGGTGAACACAAAGTCAAGACGCACAACCGCTACTGTTCTTCCAGTGATGGCCCTCTAATCTTGAGCTTGGAACAAGATGATATAACACTGGGCAGAAAACAATCAGCAACAGAGGAACTTGTTGCTGCTACAACTGCTACACTTACTTGTGATGAAGTCATTGTCCTTGAAACAACAGGACATTCATCAGGCTAGAACCTGTCACTAAGTTCCCAATGTCTGAGAAAAAGACTCACAGCAGTGTAAACCAGTCAGAATAAGATGTGGGTTAAGTACGAAGGTTCTCTACAGTAGCCCAAGAGTGAGCTATTAGAGACCAGGATTAGATCATCCCTAGGAGCAATCAGGATGCCTACAGTAGAACACCCTAGAAGGGTAGTCCTTCTGAGGCCTTGCCAGTTGAACTTTGGCTCTGATCCCATGCCTAACCCTTAAAGATAGAAGTACCCTTAAATCCCTTCAGTGATATCATAGTTGTATATATATGGGGGGGTTCCCATAAATTGCCCAAAACAAGGGAAAATATGAAGACAGAGGACTATGACCAATTTTGCACAATGATTTGGGGGTGGCAAAGCCATATGGTACAGAAGTAGTGGGGATTCAACACAAGTGAAGCCTGTATGTAATTTCTACCAGCTGCTCTGCCTTGGGGAAGAGTCAGAAAAACATGGGATGGAAGATTTTGCCATTATATTTTGCCACTTTGCGAGAAATAATTACTTGTACTATATTTTTTACAACATAGCATCCTAAGGCCTCACATACATCTCTATCTATATATGACTATGTGGGATAGAGATTAATATCAATATGCCAAATATATACAGAAAGGTCGTGCTCATTCCTGTCTCCATGCCTTCAATCATGTTGTTCCCTCATCTAGAATAATGTATTCTCTCCACTCTGCCCATCCAAATCCTGCATATCCTTCAAGGCCCAACTCAAGTGTCTCCTGCTCCATACATAGCCTTCTCTCATGACTTTATTCTCATTCTCACTCTCCTCTGAACTTCTACCACACTTGTACAATTTAGCATTTAATAGTCAGCTGTGTAATTCTGGGCAATCACTTAAGCTTTCTGGGTCTCAGTTTCTCCATCTATAAATTGAAGAAGTTGGATTTGATGCCCTGTAAGGTCCCTTCCAGTTCTAAATCTATGCTCCTCTCCTGTGACACTATGACCTTCCGTCTTGTATTGTTCACTACCATTTTGGGTGCTGCTGTCTCCTCTCTTAGATTACAAGAGCAATGATCATGTCTTTTATTGCTTTTCCTCCCCTAGAAGAACCTAACAAAATACTGAGCACAAAGTAGGTGCATATTAATACTTGTTAAATTGAATACACCTCTCATATAGATGCCTATTCATAGTAGATATAGTCACATTCAGCGTGAGTACTATGAATATCTAAATATATGCATCTGTATACATGTCTGTCTCTTTGTATTACCAAATCAAATATAAGTAGTTTTAGTACAGAAAGACCTACGAGTTTGAATGATCATGTTTCTACTCTCCTCCATTAGCACAGACAATGGAGAATTGACTACACACACACACACACACACACACACACACACACACACCCAAGACACAAGAATAGAAAAAGGAGATAAGAGTAGTCAAATGAGAATACATAAGGAAATAGGTTATGATGACAAAGTACACACTGGTGAGTGAGATAGAATGAGTAGGTAGGTGGGAAAGGAAAAGAGGCAGAATGGTGAGAGACAGGGGGTATAGAAAGCCAATAAAGGAATCACCAGATGCTAATGCTTTACGTAAAATGTACCAAAGCTGATACATAAACATACTTAATATTAATTTTTTGAAAATGAGCCACTCATGCTCAGGACAGTCAGCTATCTGGATTAAAAATTAGATAAGGGCAGCGACATCTTGTGGATAATCTGTGTGTGACATCTAACAAATCTGTGTTTCAATTCGCCCTTCAGCTCTTCCTACCTCTAGATTGCCTGGGTATATGAGGTATGATTTTACGATGTTAATAACACAATTGAATGCAATAAATGTAAAGCCACTTCTGTGGAGACTGGGTCATCCTTGCAATTAGTGACCAGATTACTACCAGGTCACTTTTACCTCATCAGTTCAACTCCCCTCTGAACTTGGTAGACTAAGTCTAAAATACACATGGATTTTCTTTCTTTTCTTTTCTTTTTTAAGTTTTGATTCTGATGAATAAATGGAACTTTCCACTCTATGCCTGACTTAATGGATTCCAAGCAGTGCAGATAGAGGTATCACAGTCAGCAACCCAGTGAGTTAGAGAAGAGAAAGGATTCCAGTACAACTATAAAATATTAGTATAAGGAAGCTATGTTATTAGTCTACCCTTGCAAGAACCCACAATCTGGTCCAGAATCCCCCAGATACAGAACTATGCAGGAGCCCTAAACTTCGTGATATCATTACACTTATCTGAAGGATACATCACAAACTTACCAATGGCTCTCCTGCCTGCAGAGAGTTACAATATCCCATGATCACTGGGGTCCCCATTTTCTGTGGTCCTGGGGCAGCTGGGTCAAAGCCACCCTCAGGAATCAAAGATAAGGAAGAGGAAGAGAGAGGGACCTGCAAAGATATGGGAAGAGAAAACAGTTTAGGAACTTTTGGAAGCTGAAATTAACTGAAGCTACCTCTCCCAGAGAAGCTTCCCTCTCCTTAAACTGAAGGTGGGTTACTTATAGCTTACAGTTTTTAAAAGCAGGGGCCTAATCAGCAAGAATAACCTAAAGTGATCAAAACAGGCCAACTCCATAGAGATTTGAACACCCTTGGCACTGTCATCACCCCATAACCAAAGCTGTAACAGTAATAAAAAAAGGTGGCAATTCCTGTCTGCTATTTGCCCAAAAAAGCATTATGTTTTCCCATACCCATCCTTCAGTTATAGAAACTAGATGTAATAATACCCTCAAGAAGTAGAGATATTTGAAAGCAAAGCCATAACTCAGGCAGGGTGACTACAACCCAAATAGGGCAGTATTTTGTAGTCCTTTGCTATACTAGAGTGAGCTTTTGCCTAGTAGCTACCTCAAGCCAATGTCCCAGGGTCTCTATTTCCCTACAGTAGGGTGATGTCCTGTCCCTCTCCCCAAATGAGGGACCCTTTCATGCTGCTTGCCCCAAGTGTCTTAATCTAGGTACAAAAATTCGTAGTTATAGCTTTGTACAAGTATTTCTAGTTATAGCTTTGTACAAAACTCTAGAAAGTCAAGGAGCAGCGTAAATATTACCAACTCTTGGTTTTTCCCTACCCTTCTCAGCCCCCAGTTTTAATCCACAAAAGCAATATTTCCATTGTGTATCATCATCATCATCATAAATGGAACATGGAATTTCAACTCTCCAGCATTAAAAAAAAAAGTATCTTCCCCCTACAAGCCTTAAAGTCTGGCAGAAAGACAACACTAGAGCTATTTGTTTTGTGCCCTGGCTCTGTTTTGACAGCCTGCCCAGTGCTTAAGGCAATATTATACTCCCAGTGACCAGATACGAATGAAAGAGCTGAATAAGAGTTGGCCCAAAGGAAAAAAGAAGTCTAACACTACCAGACAGGTTGATCAGGACTCCAAAGCTCTGAATTAAGTACTGTGCGCTGCTAAATCTGCGGCCTAGAGAAAGCTCAGAACCCTCAAAGTCTTGGATAAGGTTCCCCCCTTCTCCCACGTGTGTGCCCCCCCAACCCTTTTTCCTCCTTTCCTTCCATTAGAACTTGAGCTCCTTGAAAGCAGAGACTGTCTTACTTTTCTATTTGTATCATCAAGCTTTGCACAGTACTTTGCACGTAGTAAGCATTTAATAAATGCTTCATTCATTCATTCATTCATTCATTCATTCATTCATTCATTCATTCCCATCCATGCCCAGGCAGGCTCCCCCTTGTCTTTTCACTACCTGGGCACTGGGGGTGGGCTGTAGTGCCACCCCGAGGCTGCAGGCTTACCATCTGCTCCATGCCTCTTTGTTATCCCTTGCCCCATAACTTTAATTTCCTAAAAATTAATAATAATAACAACTCACACTTCCAGCGCACTTTAAGATTCACAAAGCTCTTTCCCCGCAGCAGCACTGTGTAAAGGGGTAGAGTATCCCCATATTATAGACGAGGAGTTTCTGGGCCTAGCATTCTTCCAGACCCGGTGTCCCGGCTTGCCCGCCCCGTACCTGGGCGCGCAAGGCTGGGCTCCCGGTCCTGGCAGCCCCGCTGGGCCAGGGCCTGCTCCAGACTCGGCTCCCGCCCAGGCTGAGGCTCCGGGAGGCGCGGCGCGTTCCCGCTGCCATGGCGACGCGGAGACCGCCCGCCCCTTCCCCTCCGGTCCCGCCCCTCGTCCACCCCTCCGCCCTCCCACCTTCCCTCCACATTTTCTCCCTGTGTCCCCGCCCCCTTCACGACTTTGATCTAGCCCCTTCTCAGACCACGCCCCTCCCCACATTCTTTCTCCGTCCCCGCCCCCTTCGCGACCTCGTTTGGCCACGCCCCTCCCCCTGTCCGGACCGAGTCCCTCCCTGTACCAGGCCCTAGGTCTCAGAGCAAATCCCTAGCTTGGGACGGGAGGAGAGCGACCACCGCGAAGACGCCCCTTCTCCCCAGACAAGGCACCAAACCCCCACGCAGCGTGTTCCACACCGGTTTATTCACCCCCAAGACTCCTTTCTCCATACAGGCAGGGCCAGTCTTGCAAACGAGGGGCTAATCCCTAGGACGACCCCCACCTCACTCTCCCCACTCCACCCAGCCTCCTGCGTGGTCCCCACTCCTCTCTCTTCTCCCTAGAGATGCTTCCCTTCCCACCATGGGATCGCCCCTCGTATCAGTATGAACTGTCGTCCAAAGGAGGAGCTTCTGTGTCCACTTTCCACGACTGGATGGACAGGGAGCTGCTAGTCTCAGAACGGGCATGGACACTGTGCTTTCCCTTGGTGGGAAGGAGAGCCTGAGCCCCAGGCAGCAGCATCTTCAGGGGTTAATTGTTTCTTGGGCTTCTGGGGTTTCCTCTAGATCGAATTACCCCCAGGTGGTAATCAGGCTTTTGTCCAGTTGCTTATAGAGTTACCGTCATTTTTTGTGTTTTTCCTGGGAGCAAGGGACCAGCCTATCACTCTCGGAATCTGAGCCTAGCTCTGCCTGTTTTGTGGAGATTCATCCGACCTTGTGTTTCAGATACCAGAGTACTTCTGTTCTTAAAACACATAGACAGACCCCTGCATGGGAGCCAGGCCTTAAAACTCCAGGAAGCCCAGAGACATTTTGAAACTGACAAAGAACGAGGGACTGCCACCTAGTTCCCAACAACATCAGATTATCTCTTGTAGAAGTGTAGGACTTTTTGTCCTCTGGTGACATAGGATAGGGACTGCCACATGTTCTCCGTTCCACAGTGTTTCGTACCCAGGGCTTACACAAGGGTGCCATTTTTGCTGTCATAGTGGGGTGTGGCCTGGGGAAATCTAATGGTTGCATACTCGGTGGCATTCTCTATCTGTAGGTGCTTCACCTCTCGGGCGCATCTTGGCTGGGTACGGCTGCACACTTGGATGTCTGCATAATGCAAGCTGCTGTCCTCTGACTGAGGGACTCGACTCCCCTCTCCAGACCTGGGCAACTCCGACACCAGCTCATAGGTATGTCCCATTGTGTCAGGGCCCTGTAGGGAATGGGAAAGATTTAGGAGACTGAGTTTTGGTTTTGTGCGTTACTCCCCACAGAACCAGTTAAACTGATCTTCTCTTATTCTGCCTCTGTGAGAACTGAACCAGCAAGCTCTACCAAACCTTAAGTGCCATCAGTCCCAAGTGCAAAAGATCCTTACTTCCAATGCCTTGTTGGAATCCTTTTCCCAAGTGTTGGAATTAGGACAGGAATGTACTGTTACATTACCTTTGTGCTCTTCTGCTGCTGCTTCTCTGTTCTTCCTCTTGCTTGACTCCCTGAAGGGAAGGGACCCAAATGGTTAACAACTAAATTCCTAGCTCAGCAATAATCCCCTACTACCACATGCTACAGGGAGGAACAAAGTCAGGAGCTCTGGGGTTCGGGGGTGGCTTCAGCTCTACAGATTTTCTTTATTAAACTATTTCCCCATATTGTTTCCAAAGCTTCCTTTTCTACTGCTCTACTTAACACCCTGATCTCTCTAAATATACTTTTTCCTCTATCCTTTCTAATTTCTTCCTCTCCATCCCCTCATTCCCTTGGTCTCCTTAGAGCCCCTATTCCCAATCCCCAAGTTACCTCTTTTCTTTTTCTTGTGGAAAGATGATGGACAGCTCCTGTGATGGAAGACACATGTCATCTGAGTGTGCACCATTCTCTTTCTTTATACCTTCTCTCACACTCCTCCTCCACCCCCCCAGCCCTATACACATATGTACAGCAGTTGTACTGATGTTAGGATAGGATAGGGATAGAGACTAGACTATGATTTTTTTTTGGTATAGGAAACTCCTGGGTGAGAGAACTTTTTCTTCAAGATGACACCTTCTTTTCAACTTCTACTCTTAAAGAGTTGCCCAGAGCACTGAGAAGTGTCTTTCCCAGGTCATACAGCCAGTATGTGTGTCAGAGGCAGAACTTGAACCCAGAACTTCCTGACTTTGACACCACCTTTCTATCCATTGTACGTATTACCCTCGGTTGATGATAAATATTCATCATTATCATCATCATCATCATTCTCCTTCAATATATAAATATAAAGATACATTGCTTCACTGACATGGGTGTACCCTCCAGAATAGATTGCAACCCCTCTTCTTCCTCCCCATGCCATGCCTTGGTAGTAGTGATCATGAATTGCTTTGGACAAAAACAAAAACATATCACCTATCAGTCAACCTTCTGGTAATAATCTTTAAGGGTGGATAGAGCACTGGCCCTAGAGTCAGGAGGACCTGAGTTCAAATCCGGCCTCAGATACATAACATGTATTAGCTGTGTGACCCTGGGCAAGTCACTTAACCCCACTGCCTAGCTCCCTAAAATAATAATACTAATCTTTAAGGAATGCCATCTATTACTGGGTAGGTCTTTACTGGAAGCCTTTCCTACTTGGTAGGACTCCCTGCCAGAGCTTGTGTTCAGCTGATATTGCTTTTGAGAATCTGGGCCACCTTACACCATGAAGTGGTATCAGAACAGGATTTTAGTGTTATAATAATAATAATAATAATAATAATAATAACAATAATGATAATACCACCACCTTCTACAAGAAACCTTCTTCAACCCTTCTTAATTCCAGTGCCTTCCTTCCGTGAATATTTCCTTATTTATCCTGTATATAGCTTGCTTTGTATGTATTTGTTTGCATGTTGTGTCTCCCATTAGATTGTAAGTTCCTTGAGGGCAAGGACTGTTTTTTGCCTCTTTTGGTATCCCTAGCACTTAGCATAGTGCCTGACATATAGTAGGTGCTTAATAAATGGTAATTTATTGATAGATTGATTAATAATCCTTACTGTGAACTGAAATGTGACTTTTTCCCGTTGGTCACAGTTCTACTCTCTGGAGCCAAGCTGAGGAAATTTAATCTCTTTTTCACTGGACACAGTATTTCAGA